ACATTTAGTAAAGTGGGTTATGATATGTCTAATTTCATGATTATAAAAAGGACAATGTCTTTATTAGCTCTGCAGTTCATTCCTTTATTAGCTCTTTATTGCAATACATCATTGCAAGTGGAAGTTGCAGAAGTGCATACTGACTCAATGTGGAATTTGCATCATGCACATGAAAGGAATAAATCACATTTTATTATTACTCATTGAAGGCAAAAGAACTGTTAGAACAACAGTTGTAGGTTCTGGATAATTTCTATCAGCTTGCAACTTAAAAGCACTTCATAATTTGGATGTTGTTATAAGCAGTGTCTCTGATTAAGATGCTGTGTCCTACTTTTCATGGCTTGTCATGAACAAGAGTGAAATACTTAATTGATTTAGTACTGTATGCCCTAGGAAAAATCGTGTGGGTCTGTGAGCTCATGTACGGTATGCAGAAGAGGGCAGATAGCACTTTCCTTCAATTGTGTTATGCTGCACTGTGATGCAACATGAGCAGTGTTTCGAAGAGATGTGGTTGGCTGTCTTCACACATCTTGGAGGAAGCACGTGTTAGACTTGAACCTCTCCAGTTGGTAGCTGTTGTATGACAGGGGAGAGAAAAGTCAAACAGAAAACATGCCTCTGTCATACAAGTCTGTATTTACATCCAAGGTCTGAATACCAATGTACACATTTTTGACACCCCTCACAATATCAATGTAACAATTCATAATTCATGCAACTGGGGCCAGTTTAGCATCTAAATCTGTAGACGTGTTTGGTGACAGCATGATTGTTTATTTTGTTGTTAGCAAGTCATGCATCGATCTTTTCAGTGAGCTAGGATTGGAACTCCAAGGATCTGTGTCTGCTTGATCTTGCGTGAAAGATTCAGACATTGATGGATCCCACATCTCCATCCTCCTGCTATATTTCTTTATTTATTAGTACTGTAAGCTTTCAAGATCCAGTTTGCAGGCCAGAATTCAGTTCCTAGCAGCCTGTTCTGTGCCCAAGAGTGTAAGTTTGACTTGCTGTCTCTTGAGTAAGCTCTCTGTTTGTCTGTCTTTCTTTTTGTTCATCCAGTAAAAAAAAATCCCAGCGGTCATGCCATAACCAGCCAGTGCTGCCACTTTGCAGGAACATGTACCGTAGATGAAGGGACACTGTCATTCCAGAGTGTCCCTGTGTTGAGGAATGATGGATTGGTTTATAGACAGGCTGACAGAACAGAATATCTGAAGACAGATCCTGCCGATATATTGCCATGTACTAAGTTCCTATTCTGACTTAGCTGATTATTGACTTGCTGCTTTGAATCAGTTCTATCAGTTAGAGAAACAAGGTCTGAAAAAAATTATCAGGATCCCATTCAATTTCACTGTGATGTTGAGTGGAGTCTGATTGGTTCTGATTATCATGTTGTATCCAACAGTGCATAGCTGGAGTAAAATCTGGCTCAGTTAGTGTCTGTCTAAAAAATCTGCCCCTCCCAACAGCAAAATGCTCGGCTCACTGAGGCAAAATTGGTTACGTTCTGCTGATTTCATGGTTAGTACATTTACATTTAATCAATTAAATGTCTGAAATAAAGAGTGAGACTTTATTTCAGAATAAAGTAAAGGATTGTAAAGAACGGGTGAAACAGATCCAGACACAGCCAGTCAGAGATAACAATTTAAACAGACATATTCTTTGATGTCATGAAACCATGAGATGAATCAGTGTACTCACCTGCCCTAAAAGACATGTTGTTCTGTGAGTATGAGGAGCAGGGACAGCAGTTGGAAGATCATTGAAGACAAACTTTACCCAAAGTAAAGGTTTGGGTTTAATATAGTGATGTGTCATTCACAAATGAGTTGACTCTTTGAGACAGGCGAGAGTTTGGCAGTATTGTGTATAACGTTTTATTCTTTAATGCTGTTAATCACATACAGTGCAATCGTGACCAAAATGCATCCAGAGAATCTCATCAGCAACTGATTTGTTTGGCACAAAAAAACAGAGAGTTCTAGCGAGAATGGTGAGACATCTGTTTGACTCTCATGTGTGTGACTGAGGCAGCATGAGCTTTCAAATGCACTGCTGCTTGTTATGATGTGTGTAGTGTGTTGAGAAGGTGAACATCAAGGAATAAAAGGAATTGTCTTTGAATTCTACTGTAGTGATAGTTGAGCGCAGACACAATAATATGATCACATTTCCCAAGGCAAATATGCAGCACAATGATTTTACATTTATTTAGATTTCATAACAGAGACAATGCAAAGTGAATGTTATTTTGTTAATTGTAACAGTACATGTGCAAGTGATGAGCACAGGCTGGAGCAGGAGAAGGCTAGACAGGTACATAGGATTTGTAAGAAATTTGTGACGTTGTGGCATATTTAGTATACTGTAAAAGCTTTCTTACCTTAAAAATGTGAGGGTTGATTTGGTTTTAGTAGTGGAACTAGGTGATTGCTAAACCATTTGTGGCAAGACATTGTTGACCTTCCATACACAATCCATGTTATCACACCACCTTGGAATTATTTCTAAGGTTCTGTGTGACTTTTGGGGGGAAAAAAGTTACAGTTATAGGGCACCATGGTGGTGCAGCTTACTCTCAGTTCATTCCTGAGCTTGGACTACTAAACTCTCAGTTCATTCCTGAGCTTGGACTACTCTCTCTGTGGAGTTTTGCATGTTCTCTCTGTGCCCATGTGGGTTTCCTTTGGGTCCTCCGGTTTCCTCCCACCTCCAAAAACATGCCGTTAGGTGAATTGGCTGCTCTAAATTGTCTCTATGTGTGAATGAGTGTATAAATGCGTGTGCATGGTGTCCTGCTATGGACTGGAGTCCCATCCAGAGTGTGTTCCTGCCTCATGCCCAGTGTTCCCCCCCAGAAAGGCTCTGGATTCCCCACAGGCTAGACCAGGATAAAGCTGTTGATGAAGAAGATGATGAGTTACAGTTATAAATATATATTTATATGCCACTGAATATATAAGGGAGGTATCTCTTGTATCTGCTTTGACCTTATTGAAACTTCATGTCAGATAGAACCGTATAATTTCAAGGTTTTAATAGTCAAAGATCTCTACTCCCACCTCTGAATCAATTTGGAAATTTTCTTAGGGTCTATAGATGTGGGGTTTTAAATGGGTGAAGACACTGAAAAACACCATTAGTATCTTTGAAGTTCTGAAAAAAAGAACTAGCCTTTACATTGTGCACATAGAAGAGTGTGTAGAGTCTGGTTAAGGTCTGTGCTGAGCAGCTTTTTTTAAATTTTTTTATTAGTATGCATATGGGAATGTTTGTTTCTATTCCCTATAGAATCTGTATAGATCTGTACAGTTTTGTTGGCTGCTGCTGTCAAGTATTTGAAAAGATGTCAAAAAAAATTTGCAAAAGGAGCCCGAGAGTGTACGTTTGTTTATGTTTTTTATCTTCCCTAGACTGATTTGTTTATCCAGAGACTGCACCGCTCATGTCTGCCTCAGTGTGACAATTTGACATCTCTCTGGCATCCAGCATGAAGGCAATTCCAGCATTACTTGAAGCAGCCCATTAATGCCTAGTTTTCCACCCACTTGTATAGAGTGTTATTTCTGCTACCATGCAGATTACATATCCGTAAAAGATTTGTATGACACAGTCATGATACTGCTTCAAAGCTACATGATTCCAGAGGCTACAGTACACAGAACTCTGCTATACTCATTTCAGTCATCCAAAAATGCATCATATACTGATGATTGCATTAAATTAATTCTCATATTTAGTAGTCTTCATTTTGTTTATGCATCAGTTGTGCTGTTGTTTTATTTTGCAATATGAAATTTAACATAGCTTCACCTCAGACTGCTTCAAGATTTGGGCAGGAAAAATATTGGCCTACTTCACTTGTGTGATAAACTGGCATTATAAAACTCTCAAAGCAAAGCTCCAGTAATTTATTTTGGCAAAAATGCATGAAAGCTTGACAAGTGACTAAACCCATAATTCAAGTTAATACTTTGGTATGTTTACAAAATACAAACTTTACAAATAGGATGGAAATGAATAAGGCAAGCCTGTGAGATTATTTTGCTAAGTGGTTTCAAATATTTTGGAATTACTGTATTACCTTAGCTGTCATAATTAATACATGTGATTACTGTAATAAAGGGGTTGCCAGTGGTGCAGCAGGTAGTGTTGGTGTTGTACAGCTTCAGGGTCTGGGGTTTGATCATGACCTGTAGTTACAGTTTGTGTAGTTTTATATGTTCTCCCTGTCTGTGTGGGTATCCTCCAGATATTCCAGTTTCCTCCCACCTCCCATATCCAGTAGGTGCAATTGGCTGCTAATGAAATTCCCCCTGTGTGTGTGTACTGTATGTGTGTGTGTGTGTGTGTGTGTTTTGCATGCATGGTGTCCATTCTTCTCTTGTGCCCAGTGTTCCTGGGATAGTCTCCAGATCCTCCACAACCTCGACCAGGATAAAGCGTTTACTGAAGATGAATGAATGAATCCCTGATCTTAAAGTATCCCTGCCCCGTTTATTTGGGTGTTTGCCCTGTTCTTATAGATCTAATTACATAATTTAGAGGCCCCCTTTATGAGTGTATGAGTGTTAGAGCAAGAAAAACACTAAAATAGACAGGGCAGGGGAGCTTCATGACCAGGGCTGGTAACCAATGGTGGTAAAGTAATGTATGTCTATGTTTTATTCATGTGATTTTCAAAATTCACAGTTTCAAAGTTTGTTTAAAAATGGGTGAATGTGTTTGCTTTTAATAGAACTTCTGTTGATGCACTGCGCAAATGCATTTTAGTCTGCGCCGTATTTCATCTTCCTGTACTACCCTGCCATCGACCATTATTGACATAGATGAAAGGCACTTGTCAGTCAGGACAAGCAGTTCAATTGCTAATAATAAATGATTGGAACACTGTTGATTTAAGTGCACTTAATTCAAGAATATTTACATGGGGTCTAGTGACTGAATGGGAATTTCATAAAATTACCATCAAGGTTTGAAGAGAGTCCCTGGAGGACTAGTGGATAGGCTACAGCACTCTCACCTCTGCAGCCCAGGTTTGATTCCCGGCCAGGGAACCAACCCCAACCCCAGCCACTGGAGCTGCGTACAACAGTGCACTCTCACTGCCCATCCCAATCCCGGATAAAATTGGGGAGGGTTGTGTCAAGAAGGGCATCCAGTGTAAAAACTGTGCCAAATCAAATACGCGGACCAATGATCTGCTATGGCAACCCCTAACAGGAGCATCTGATAGAGGAACAACAACAATCATCATGATTTGAAGAGCAAACCATGCAACCTTTAGCAATCTATTAACAGTCAGATATCTAGTAAATACTGCATTTTGAAAGCTTGCTACATTTTTCATGAAATTATTGTGACATTTTTATGCCTTACAATACAACTTGATGGAAATTTTCGCTATGGTCATCAGGTCTTTGACTGGCAGGACTCTAAAACATGTATGTATGTATGTATGTAGCCCTCATGGGGGGGAAACGTCACTAGATCTTGACACCAGAATATAATGCTTTCTTTATGCCACAAATGTTTAAAAAAAAGTGTTTCATAGCAACACAGTGGCAGCCCTGCCACAGAGCCCTCTAAAGCCCTAAAGAAATGGAGCTGTGAATGCATAAACTAACCAATAATTACATAAAGGACCATAAAGGTTTGATTTTGTGAACAATGAAATAAACCCTCCTTACTAAAGTATCTACTGAAAATAGCAATATTGTTGAATTACAAAGAATGGCATTTGATTGTTAGAGAAAACAGGTTTATAGTGTGTGACTCATGCCTTAAAATGTTTTCCTGTACTTTCTGTTTGCCAGGCCCGCAGAGGTTCGTTTTTTTCTTCTTTTTTTTTTTTTTTTTCGAGTACCAGATTTGCAACCCTGAGAGATTCTCTGCATTTAATAGGCATTTAAGTGCAAAACCATGTCTTCCTTTCAGCTGTCTTACATCTCTGTTTTTGGGCGGGGAAAAGGAAAACTGCCAGAGTTGGGAGTAATGAAGCATAGGAGAAGGCGATTAATAAAGCATCAGTGCAGGAGCCCATGCCACTGTTAATCCTGATTAAAAGCATAAATGCTGTTTTGCCAACCCGCTCTGAATAAACTCATTAACTTTTACAGGGCGATTAAATGAAGCATATGAGAAAGTGTGGCACAAGAAGGGAAACGCCTGTTATGTTTCTATTTCAGCTTCTATCAGACTTTCTCAGCCTCTTTGTTTCTGGCCTGGTAATGGAGGTTGGCTAAGGAGGATGAAACAACACAGACTGATTAAAAACTGTTTATTGGATGAACTGCACTATGAAGATATGAAGTCTTCACATACTATAAATGTAAATAAATGTAAATGTGTAAATCCCCAGTATCAAACTGACTGTAGCTACAGCTAATTGATTATAACAGCATTGCTGATACTTCAGGAGCATTTGTAAGATGCCATAACCTGCCTTCGCCACACCATATGAAAATTGCTGACAATAAATGTCTATGAAACATAATATCACTCTTTTATTACCTATTCCACCATAGATATTTCAGAGAAATAGACATTTGGCATGCCAGGATTGTTTTGAGATCAGTGGTGACTAGCATTATGCTAATGTGCACTGGGAGCCAGCTTTATTGCATTAACCAAAGGTCATATTAGATGAGCGCTCTGGTGCCATTAGGACGCAGTTATGTGAAAGTGTCTTTAAGAGCAGGATCTAGTGAACCTGAACAGAAGGAGAAAACTGTCCTTCTGAAACTCTTAGAGAGCAAAATGATCACACACAGCCTACTACCTCTGAGGAGAAGGAAGGAAGGTGGTAATGGATATAGGTGAAACTCTCAAGTCTCGATTTTTTCTAGAGAAAAAGCACCGGCCAGCATGCCTGTGTGCTGATATGAAAAAAAGTCTTATGTGATTGTACACTGTAACCATAACAAAGCTGTTACTGCATTTACCTTTCGAATATACTAGCTAATTAGCTAGCTTATCTATCTATATTTATTGGCCACAAAGTTTTGATTGATATCTCAACATTTAGCAATGAGGTATTGTCTTCAGCATTGCAATATGTCAGATTTGACAGGTTTTAAATCTTGTATTTGCTCACAAACAAATAAACTGGCATGCCTCCGTGTTGATTTTTTTCACTTGCCCCTCCCAAGCTGTGATTTGATTGATCAAGTAATTAGCATTTTAAAGTCTGCTTGCCCTAAAAGTTCACACTTCCACTAAAAGATGCCCTGTCTACCTCTACAATTGTAACATAATCTACTTATAGAAAAACAACATTACTGCCAAATTTTAAAGAATTATAAGTTTACAATGGGATACAGTGAGTTATCACTTTGATTCTTAGCATCGTCCACATTAGTCACGGGCTGCATCCGAAATCGTGTACTGTGACAGTACGTACCGCATTCGTTTCAGTACCTACTGCTCGGCCTTTGATACAGTACGTACTGATCAGTATATGTGTGTAGCATGAATACAATCCAGACATACTACATCCGCCATGTTAGCATTGTCATGTGCCCTACGATGTCATAGTAACTGCAAAAACTTAAAGCGCAAATTAGAGCAGCTGTTTTTCTTGTTTAAACCTTCAACAAGTTAACAATTTACTCAGGTGTTGTTAAACAAGTACGTTTTAACCACAAGGAACAAGGAACAATGTTTAATACCTATAGCACTTACACTTAAAAAGAGCTGACGCGCTGCCTTCCGCCATTTTTAATTCTGATAGCTCTTCTGCATCAGTCCCGTTGCCTTATGGGATAGCGCAGTGTCTATTGCTTCCATACTGCAGAATCTTGGTGGAAGCAGTAGGTCATCCGGTTGTTTCTCCTGTTTCTACTGTTTTATGAATACTGAGAATTCGGATGTACTACTGCTTTTGCTAACATTTTTAACATTTTTTGCTAACATTTTTTAACATTATTACTAATGCTAACATCAATGGAAAAATAATTGCTGATTAATTCAGTCAGTTCTTTTATGTTGGCAAAATTTCTTTTAATTAATGTTTTTATTAGGTCATTTAAACATTTTAAAACTTTGTCCACTCTCATCCGTGCAGATTTTGTAAATGCTTTTCTCTGTTTTGATTATGATGATGTAAGGGAGCATTTTGATATTTTGATAGCTGGGATCTGATTATAAATTAAATTGATCAGTCTTATAGAAAGAAGCCTAAATAAAAACATTTCCAAAAAATATATAAATATATGTACAGTTTCTTAAAGTAGAGATGTCAGAGTATATTACTGGCAGAAAATCTCAATTTTGTCAAAACCCAGTTTTTTGTAATTTTTGGCTGGTTTCCAGAATTCGGCTGCAGTGAAAGGTTTTCCCTGATTGCCATGCAAGTATAAGAACTATACACGACTTTCCTGCATCAAAGTGTCCTTGTCAGTAACTATTAGTACACTGGGGAAAAGCTCAGTCCGAGTGATCATTCACTGCAGAACCAGTTTAATCAATACACATTAGAAACTTACACTACAGAGGGAGACTCATTGTATCAGCTTGCATTGTTTCGTTCCCTGCATGGAAAGGAAATTAGATCTTGTTTTGCTGTTTTGCCTCCTCAGAGTAATAAGATAATGATTGTTGGAAATTGAACCCTAATGTCATTCAACAGCTCCTCTTGTGTGTTGCCTGAAGAGGCTGATTAGGCTGCTTTCCATAGCAAAGTACTTCTGCATTCCACTGATATGCTAACAGTGTTTGGTGCAAACCTGCTGTGCAGAAATTTCTAGATGTTTATACTGTTGATGCCTAATCATAATTACTTAGCACCTGCAGGTAGAGAGAGGGTTTTTTTTGTTTTGTTTTGCACATAGGATGCAAGTTAAATATATATATATATATATATATATATATATATATATATATATATATATATATATATATATACACACACACCAATCAGCTATAACATTAAAACTACCTGCCTAATATTGTGTAGGTCCCCCTTGTGCCGCCAAAACAGCTCTGACCCATCGCTTGATTGGATTGTGATCTGCATACCGGGAACACCCCACAAGGCCTGGAGATGCACTGATCCAGTTGTCTAGCCATCACAGTTTGGCCCTTGTCACAGTTGCTCAGATCCTTACGCTTGCTGATTTTTCCTGCTTCCAGCACATCAACTTCAAGACCTGACTGTTCTCTTGCTGCCTAATATATCTCACCCCTTGACAGATGCCATTGTAATGAGATAATCAGTGTTATTCACATCACCTTTCAATGGTTTTAATGTTATGGCTGATCGATTTATATATTTGGAAGCAAGTATATAGCTAAATCCTAGGCAGCATTTTGTGCAATTATTCTGGGAATGTTATTGCAGAAAAATGAGATGGAATGTGGGAAGTGGCATTGTTTAAGAACTGTGGAGGTTGACTAGTGTGGGATTTCTGCTGTGAAGGGAAATGCTGGAAGAGAGGATGGCTTGGGTGTGAAAGGTCAGCCATTTTCTCTGCACTTTGCGCAAAGCACTCTTCTGTGGCATCTTAAATTTCTTAAGCTGTCACAGGAAGTCGAAACACTGCAAGGCCTTCTTGAGGATATAGCAAGCTGTATTTACAGACGGAAACATTTTGTTCCTGAAAGGCTGTGTTGTATAGTGTTTATGGTCATCTATATTATAGTTGTTATAATATAACTGCTGTGGGGAGACAGTCTGTCCAGATTAAAGGTTGGAGAGGGAGAGTGGTGAAACAGCACCGAGAGCATTTTCTGCGTGTTGCTGGCTCAGGCGTGCAGAGATGAAATTAAATGAAAGCATGTCTGGATTAAAGCTCATTAAGTGGGAGAAGAGCCTTAATTGCTGCAGCTCTGTATAGCCTCACAAAGAGCCAGCCTCACTAATCTGTTGCTTAAGGGTGATTGTTTTCTGCAGTCACGAAAAAAAATGCATAGCATAAGAAAACAGTATTTTAGGAAAGGTTGTTTAAGAAATTGGCACACAACTGCCTTCTGGAGAGAAAAAGCAAAGCATGTGTGTGATTGGATTTTCTCGCCTGTGCTTTGTGAAGAAAAGGAAATGTCTTCGTGTTTTAAAACT